TCGCACTAGCTCAGCTCAAGTTAGCATGCTAAAACTAGCAGCGTGGATGTTGCAGCACTAGTGGTGGCTTGGGCTAGCCGCCCAAGTCCAGGCCCCCCTGGGTCTGAGCTTGGGAGGCTAGCCCAAGCCATGGCCACTGTTGCAACATCCATACTACTAGTTTTTGCGCACTAGCTTGAGCTGAGCTAGCGAAAGTCTGGCTGCCCATGCAGGGAATCACACCTCCCAGCTGCAATGTAGATATATCCTTAGAGCAGTGGCTCCCTATGGTCTGCTGAGGCTCCTTTGGGCCTCTAGTTCTACACTCTGAAATTGGAGTCACAGTTCAGGTCTAAGGTCCAATACAAACCTCTTTCTGAGTGAGCTTGTGACTGGCCAAATTCATCTCTGGCGTAGAATTGGATTTGTCCTGTTGTGCACGGTATTGGCCTTTCGTGACTTTTAATTTCAAAAGAAACCATGTTGGTTTGGTCATTGTTGTGATGGAAACACATCCTAAATTCTGAGTATCCTGAGCCTTTGGGGACTGGGAATGCCATATGGTGAGGAAGGGAGCACCTTGCAATGGTCTTGAGCAACACCCTTTTCAAGAAGCTGGAACATGGTTCAGCCTTAACTCTAGCTGTCCTTGCACAGGAGGAGATAGGCTGCACCTTAGGGCCCAAGGGCAGGAAGGAGGAGTAAACCATAGAGGTAATATGAAGCTGGGGAGGAGGGATCCTTAAATGACCCCTCTTGTTCTCATCCTCGCACTCAGTTTATTAATTTTAAAGACTCTATCTGTGCCTCTTCCAAAGCCCAGTGAAGTCTGTTAGGGTGCCAGCTTCTGGGGGTACTTTTATATTGGGCCCTCATCATGCAGTTTTGTGTTGCTCCCTTTAAGAGTCACTGCCTGATGGGGATTAGTCCTTAGTTTGCTGCCCCTTGTTTCTTCTCTTTGGCTATTTCTGTGCTGTCTTCCATGTCACCTCATGCCTGGAATCAGGGCCGGCTCTAGCATTTTTGCCGCCCCAAGCACCAAAAAAAAAAAAGGCGCAATCGGCGGCAGCTCTACCACTGCTTCTTTCTACGGCGGCAATTTGGCGGCAGGTCCTTCGCTCCGAGAGGGAGTGTCGGCCCCGCTGCCGAATTGCCGCCGAACGGCCGGACATGCCGCTCCCCTCTTCGTTGGCCGCCCCAGGCACCTGCTTGCTACGCTGGTGCCTGGAGCCGGCCCTGCCTGGAATACTCTCCCTGAGCTGGTACTCAAAGCCACAACCCTCTCCTATTTTAAATCCCTCCTGAAGACCCATGTGTCCTGCAAGGCCTGAAAGAAGGTCATTGTATCCACATTTATCTCCTCAAATAAGTTATACCACTGCTGTGCACTAGCCTTGCTGAATTACTGTGGAGTCATCTTGATGCTGTCCATGTCCTCCTTTCTGCTCACCTTCATGTTACCATGCACCCTTGCTGTGTCATGTACAGAATTATTATTTATGATTTGTTTTGCATTAGTGTCCAAAGATCTCTCTCAGAATCCGGGCCCCACTGAGCTGGGCCCTGTACGAACACATATGGAGGCACTCTCTGCCGTGAAGAGCCCGGTGGGGCAGAGACCATATCTCTTCTCTGTACTGGGAGGAGGGCCTTACTGTACCTTTGAACACTGTTAAAATAATGATGTTAAATAAACCCATGAAACTGACCCTCTGCTATTTCTTTTAACAGAGGCAGTCAGTAATATTGTGAAGTTCCTGGGGATGCAGCCGTGTGAGCGATCGGATAAAGTGCCAGACAACAAAAACTCTCACACATTGTACCTGGCAGGTAAACTGTTGGGATTCTCTGTTGGGATCTCTGCCCCACCTTATGTGACACTCTTAGCGACTCTGGGGATACGCAGGGATTTGTCTGTTTTGAGGCTGAACAATAGTGCTCAGGATGTTAGCCCAGCTAGTGCACAGCCTATCGCTCAGTTGCCACAGCCCCAGATAACATTCATTCGCCTGTTCCTGTTGTGCTCCCCGTCCCTTCAAATTCAGGGTAGCTGATAATGTTGGGATCAGAAGAATTACTTGGGGATAGGGATTGGGGACAAGCCCAATCCCTTGGGATGGTTTGAATTGAGTTCAGAACCGCCCTGCATGATCTTCAGGGAGCTGTTACCCCAACCTTTGTGGGAGTCCCTGGATTTCCAGAATGAGGTGAACTGAGGAATCCTATGGGAGATGCAAGGAGGACTTGAGCAACAACTGAATGTAATTCTAGATGTTAAACTAAGTTGCACACTGGATGAGCAACTGATGGTGATATCAGAAATCTCTTGATCTTCTCCCCATTTGAGTCTAAAATATAAATTTAATTTGTGTGTCCGTGGGGTTTTGAAAGATTTATACTCGTGACTAACTCATCTGGGTACCTTAATGTGCTACGGTGGGGTTTATAACTATCCAGCTGCATTGGTGATTTTTTTGGACTATGGTCAGCTGATGCTCTTTGGAGAGGGGACCTTGCTCCAGCCACATGAGTATCCTTTGAATTTGATGGATGAGCTAGTGGCATTCAAGCACTTTATTCTCTTCCCTCTTCTCTTCTCTGTTCCAGGTGTGTTTCGGGGTGGCCATGACCTCTTGGTGCGTTCTCGTCTCGTCCTGACAGACACTGTAACAATGCAGGTCACAGCCCGCAGTGGAGAAGAGCTTCCTGTGGACATAATCATGGCCTCGGTTGGCTAAACTGTCTTTCTGAGACTGCACTCTGACATAAGGCCCATAAAGGGAGAATGTTCTTGGTTTTCTTGGTTCCCCTCTGTTCTGGACACTGAATTGGAATCACGTTCACTACAGCAGCTTTTTATCATTAGTAAAAAATAGGACAGTTATTTGGGTTTTTCTAAATAAAATTGTGGTGTTTTTATGCCCTGACAGGAGGTTTTAGGAAGCATTCAGTTTCACTTAAATCTATAAACCCCTCTGAAGAATCAGCCCATTTAATACCAAGTTGCTGAACTCTGCAGTCTGGGGGTCCTGTGTTTCCAATGAAGCCTTATTTAGCCATTCATATTATGGTAACACTATCAAACCCATTAAGTGGTCACTTGGAATCTGAAATTAGTGTGCTTTTAATTATCACTAATTTTGCTAGTATTTTTATGTCTTTAAAAGACCCTTAAAAACAGGACATGGTAAATAAATAAAATAATAAAATTCCCTCTCCTGCAGGTATAGAACTTGGCTGCCTTCCACTACCATCTTCATGGAAAATGACAGGCTGATCTTCTCCCAGGGTACTTATCCCTCAACACAGTGGGTTGGGATTGGCTGTCTTGCAATTATATTCAGTCAAAGAATAGGAAATAAGTGCCTAGCTCGAGCTTTGCACAACCCTGTCAGAAGGAAATAGTCTCTGTAAAGTGCAAATCAATTAACACACTGCCTGTATATAATTGGTTTGGCTGTTCACATTCCCCTAGTTATCAGTAACTGGTTTCTCAGTTGTTGTTAGATCCAACACTGAAAGCCTACTGTATAAGTGGTAGAGGATTATGTGATTTTTGTGTGTGTAGTATCCTGAGGAAAAGTGACCAGTTAGATTTTTGAGTATGAAAGAAGTAATGTGGTGATGTGTAACATCAGACCGTGTGTAATATATCAACCAGAGCTGTTGTCATTCCTCTCTGGAGCCATCATTTTGGTTAACTTGTGAATTTCAGTTATGCCAGATAAGGGGTAAACAGGAGAGATGTCTGTTTCTAGCACCTGTAATTGATCTTTGTTCTACTCTGCCTGTATTTTTTTTATGCAAAATGTCACCATATAATGTAACATTAAACAAAATATTAAAAGATCCTGATGGAATTTAAATAATTATTTATTATTGGCCTAAAGGTGTAGCCAAAGGCATTGCACCAACTCATTCCTGCAAGACTGACAAGGCATGTGCGACTGGTTGGGATATTGTCATAGACAATGACTGTCTTGCATGCTTTAAACAGAGGGATTATCTAGGGTAGCACCAGTTTTTTGTCATTGCCTCTTCTGTTCACCTCTCTCACCACCCTACGGGGGGAGGGGAGGCTCACTATATCCCGTGCTAATACTCAAGGAGTTCTCCTTACTCATCACCTTTCGCATGAGCCTCCCACTTCAGTTTTCTTCCTTTTGTTTTTAAGCAAACCTTGTCTCTCCTGGTCCTGAGGCTTTGGCCACTATAGGGAAACACGTGCACCTGTGCAACCCTCGCTGCTAGCCTGAGGCTTCTGCAGCTGTCTGTCCGCTAGGAGAATGAACTCTGTCTCTCCTCTGACTAGAGTGGTCCTATTTCCCCTTTCGCTGCATTTGCAGCAGCACTACGGGAATTGCAGCAAAACACAAGGCTGAGTGGGCAGCTGTCCGTGCATCCTGCAGGCACAGAAGGGAGGGCTCGGGAAGGCCTTTGCCAGAGATGTGTAGCTGACCGAAGGGCGGGGAGCCAGGAACGCTCATTCCACCAGTTCAGGCTGGCCCCCGCGCTCCGATGCGGTTGATGAAATGGCCTCACCACCTAGGCCTGACTGAGGGGTTACAAGGTGCCTGTACAGAGCGCTACTGGGGGCAGGTTTGTGGCTGTCGGGTGCATCTGGGCTGTGCCCAGAGCCCCACAGCAAAGCTGGGGGCCTACAGCTTGAGAGAGAGAAGGCAGATCGAGGCACAAGCTCCCCTTCCCTCCCCACCCTGGACAGCTCCCAAACATGGCCCTTCCCCCAGCCCTAGGGTGACCAGATTTCCGATTTTATAGGGGCAGTCCCGATAATTGGGTCTCTTCCTCTTATATAGGCTCCTATTACCCCCCCCCGTCCCCTACCCAGCCCTTACATAGCCCAGCGTGGGGCCCCGCGTGGAGCCCGGCTCTCCCGCAGCGGGTGAGCTGGGGCTGCGCACGGGGCAGGGAGAAGCGGGGCTACCCCCGCGCTCACCCCCTGGGGAGCGGAGCCAGCCGGGACCAGAGGCGCGCGCGCCCCCCTCCCTCGCCAGGCCGTGGGGCAGGCCGCGTGCCATGGGCAGAGCCTTGCGGGGCGCGGCAGCACCCCCGTCACGTGCCCATCGTCGCCCACTCACAGACGGCGGCTCGGACCCGCCCCCGCCGGGCTGTTGGCGGCAGCAGCGGGCGGGCTGAGGTGTCGGTAACGGCCGGGTGAGCGGGACCGGGATCGGGACCTACGCTGGGCTGGGCGGCGGAGGAGCGGCCTGTGGGAGATCGAGGCGAGCCCAATAGAAATCCACCATGGGGCCAGCGTACCCCCGGACAGCCCCCCTGCAGCTTCCCGCAGTCTCTGGGCAGGAACAGCGCTCTGCCCCCCACCAGAGACCCCCGCAGTCCCTGGGCAGGAACCCCCCCCACAGCCCTCTGCCCCCCACCGGAGACCCCCTCAGTCCCTGGGCAGGAACTCCCCCCCCCCCCCCCCCCCCCCCCCCCCCCCCCCCCCCCCCC